TACTGATACCAATATTAACATCAAGGGGAAGTAGAGGTTTGAAGGTACAAAATGAATGTAGAAGTGTTGGAGAGGTAAAGAATAACAAGCTTAGACAATAATTAAACAATGTTTGTGAGCTTGGCTAGGAAACAAGATGTATTTTCCAATGTTTCACAACAACAAGGGTGTTTTTCTATTGTTTGGTCAATCGCAAATATTACTCTTTCGATTACTTGGGCATCAAAGCTTATTCAAGTCCAAATATTTTCAACTTGGTTCAACCAACATCCTGCATTTGGATCGAATCAGAGAATGATTAATTGTATTGTTCCCTTTTTGTTGGTGTTTATTTTTTTTCCATTAGTTAGCAATGTTGTCTTAATAAGAGCCTAATTATTTTGCCAAAAAAAAAAGAGATACTAATAACAATAATATCCCAGAGAGGACTACAATCAGAATGGCAAAATTGAAGCCCACATTTGCTGCTACTGTCCAAGCAACTCTGGCAGCTACAACAGCTTCTACTACTATTGATATTCAACATGGGACTCATCTCGGTAAGCCAGCTGTCTGCTTTAATGCCGAAGATTACTTTTTTTGTCGTCAATAAAGGTCCAACATGCCTCATGTATATCTAAATCATCAGCCAAACAATTCAAGAACAAAGTCCATATCTCGCTGCTTTCTTACTCGACTCTATATCTCTCAATTTCAGAATCATCAGTAGAATCACAACAATCAAAATCCTCCTCTACACTAAGAAGCTCCCTTTCACCCATAAATGCTTTGTTTTCCTTTTCGATGGTTATTGAGTAATTCATCATCTCATAAATCAGCCTACAAGTCGCTAAAATCACCGTCACAACTTGCACAATGAATGCTTGACTTGGTGTATCCCAATTGTCCATTTTAAAATAAGAGACCAGGTTCTCAAAGTAAATCTCATTCACATAGATGTTTTTACCAACTGCTCGGGTTTCAAAATCTGTAAAAATCAATCTCCAGCTTTTACCATATTTTCCACACTTACGCATACCAACAAATTTCCACCATCTTTTTAAACATCGATTCAATGTGTCCCTATTAATGTAATCAATATAGTCTATGATGCCAGTCTGCCACTCATGTAATGCTTGTCCTAATAATCAAATACAACATTGCAGCCAGAATAAAGAAACTTGATGCTCAGAACCTATAAACTATTCCGAAAGTAGTGCATCAAATCAGACATTTTAGGAATTCAATTTTCAGTTGTTTTTTTTTAAAAAAAAAACACTTGAGCCATATAACCGTCCTCAACTTTATTCGGACCAAGGCGTAGTTGATTGATATGTTTACCATATCGCGACTAAGTAAAATGTTGTGTTCCATAGCTAACATGATCATCAAAAATCTAGGAGTGATATAGTAAATGATTTGTAAAAGTGTACCAAGTCAAACATGGACAAATAAATATCTACGGAGAAAGTAGTAATTAAACTGTAAAATAGAGATGAAGATCCAATTGAACTAATTAAAGAATTTAATTAAAAGTATTTAACTAACACCTAATTACCTATTAAGGAGAAAAATCCTATAAAAAAAACTAATTGACCAAAAATAAAAATCTGCATTATCCTATTGTACCCTCACTAAGATTTGATCAATCTTCAGGCTTGATGATGACTTCAATTAGACATGTTTTATTCAATATTCAATTCTTCTCTTCATGATCTAGCGGAATTCAAATATCTAATTAAACTAAAAAGGTTTACACAAAACAATGGATCTAATTTAGATTTTTAAGTTTAGATAAGTTATCAAATGGTCATTTAGAATTATAATGTCAAATCTTTTATTTTACATCCTTTTATTCTTTTTAACATGGATAAAAATTTACAAACATCACATTTTGAATCCGTCTTTATCATTCCATTCAGTCAACAAGTATACATGAAGGCTGACGAGGTGGGGATATAAAGGTTGCTTATTAATAATTTATTGGGGTGAAAAATAATGTTTAGAGAAGTTTCGTAAGGGTTAATTAGAAAAATTATTCTTTTTATGTATGATTTTTTAAGAGGTGCGTAAATGAGAAAATGAACGATTGATATGAATCTAGGGGTATTATTTTTGGGTGGGCGTAGGTCAAAATATTAGGAAATTGTGCTACTTCACTGCCTGCTCTGCTTCTGCTTCTGCTGCTGCTGCTGCCTCACTTCACAGAAAAATCTCTTTCTGCTTTGCTCTTTTCACTTGACAGAAAAACATCCGGCGGCGATGTTTCCGTTTGTTTCTTTTCGGGATTGGATTCATCAAGCGGTTCACATCATTCTTCTCAAATTCTTCTCCTGGTATAATTTCATCTTCACTCCAACTTGTACAACAAGTGATTCCGAAATTCCAAATGAAATCATAACAAACATACTCTTAAGGCTGCCCCCCAAATCTCTCTTGAAATGTATGTCCGTTTCTAAATCATGGCATCAACTCATATCTAGCCCTGATTTCGTGAATACACATCTCAAATTAAACTCAATTCATAGAGTTCTGTTTCCAGGCATCAATGGAAATTTCAACTTTAGTTCTCTCCTCCCTTCCACTGTTCAAATGGGTTCTATCGCTTTAATATCTTCCGTTGTGGGTACTGCCAATGGGCTAATTTGTCTGTACAATTACAAAGGGGAGATATATATATGGAACCCCACCATTAGCAAGTCAAAGAAACTACTTAATTTGCCGTGGGGTTCCTCTTTCTATATGAAATATGGTTTTGGATATGATGAATCACGTGATGATTACAAAGCTCTGTTTATTGATGATGAATCCGATCTGACTTATGTGGTTAACATTTATAGTTTGAGGACGGATTCTTGGAAAACACTCCATGACCAGCTTAAGGGCGTCTTTCTAATAAATCTTCCGGCTAAATTTGTCAACGGGAAGCTTTATTGGACTGCATCTACGAGTTTTTGTGATATCAATGTGCGCAAGATCATTTCTTACCCATTCTCTACACATCTTCGCCACTCAACCAAGGGCGACATTTTACTTTCCCTTCCTGGAGTTATACTGATATTTGGGGGTTCAACAAGAAAGCTAGAGCACACTGTTGATGTTGTGGGATGCGATCCAGTAGAATTCTATGCAGGAAGCATTGTTAATCCCTTACGATTTCTGGTAAGAATTCTGCTTAGTTTAGCTTGTATGCTCTTTTTGCACTTCTTTTTCTGTCAAATATAGGACGAGGCATTGAATATGTTTTTTTCCCCTGATAACGAGACACAACATTGAATATATTTGCTTGTATAGCTCGTAGTTCCTGTAAGAATTTCTCCTTTTTTACTTTACTAGTTTCTGGGCACGTGCATTGCACTTTGTCCTCTATCGTCAATTATAATAATGTTTGTATTTTGAAATAAGTTAATGTGGTCTACTACACCTTTCACCAATTTTGTGTGAGTGTCTGTATAGAGGCCGTATCAAAAATAGAGAAAGCATAACGTAGCATTCACAATTTCATTGATAGTTTGGCCTAAAACTATGTCTCTGTGATGTACAAATAATATTCGCAACTTAGAGCCTGTTTGAATTGGTTTATTTTAGGTGCTTTTAAGCACTTATGTAGTGTTTGGGTAGGATTATGCACTTGTTTTACTCTGCTCGAACAAGGATTAGATTTGAACCTTGATCTCCCATAGTTTTAGTTTAACGGCTAAAATTGTTGGTAATTTGTAATTTCCTCTCTCCTTCCCAAAAGAATGTGGTGTGATGGGTCTATCTTGAAGTATGCAGAGTTCTATTCTTTTCTGTAGACAGTTGGCCTAATTTGGTATTAACAGTGTTGAGTTAGAGTTTCAATATAGTGTTGCTTACAGTTTTATTGCTGACATCCTTTTACATTGAGAAATGATGATTCACTCGCATCTATGTTGTTGATATTGCTTATACTAGGTGACTATTTTTGTAGTACTATACGCTTTTTTTTATTTTGAGAGATGCAACCTTAACTTGTTTTGGACTATTGAATTTCAGGAAGTGGAAGCTGATTCCATACTTGCTGCTGAGTGCATGGATCAAAATGATGAAGCCTTGTCATGATCTGTTTTCTTGCTCTATCTTGTCTGCTGCATTTAGTATTAGAATTGTAGTTGTATCTTGTATAATGAGGATTCATATAACTTGATTCCGCAGTGTACACCGAGAATGTTAGAGGAAACCTTGTGGATGGTTCCCCTGCTTTTCAGGGTGAAAGATTATTATTAGTTGTTCTAGTAAACTTAGAAATTATGAAAATGCTCCAGATCTAATTATTGATCTACAACTGCTTCTACTACTGTTGATATTCATGAGAGCTGGCTGTCTTCTTTAGTGCCGAAGATTACTTTCTTTAATCTGACCCGTAAGCTTACCATAGTCGGGAAATTCATAAAGGGAAAACCAACTATGTAAGAGTTAAGAAAGCTATTTATTAGCCAATTTCAGCTATTGGGATCGGTTAAAATAGCTTAATTGATTATAGAACTCTATCTGTACATTGATTTCTCTGATGAATAACATATGGTAATATCATTAAAAGCTTCAATAAGACCTTTCTTTTGGTCGGACATAAAGGTGCAACCAGCCTCATTGTCAATGTCTCGCTGTTTCTTATTCAACTCTATAGCTAATATTGGATTATGTCCAGTAATCTTTGTATTGTATTGAGAATACTCTATAGCTCTCAATTTCAGAATCGTCACTATTATACTCCATAGCTAACATTATCAATAGTCTAGGAGTGATATAGTAAATGATTTGTTAGGAGTAAAGTTGAGGTATTTTTCAGACCCTTATCCCTATAGTAAATGATTTGTTAAGAGTCGACAAATAAATATGGACGGGGAGCGTAGTAATTAAATTAAACAGTAAAACAGTAAAAATTAATTAATTGAAACTAATTAACTACCATCCCTTTTTAACACCTATTTAGGGGCGGAATCCAATATAAAGTAAACTAAATGACCTGACAAAAATAAGAGAAAAAAAGTTGCATTATCCTATTCTCTTGCTTCATGATGACTGCAATAGTTCCTCACTTTGCCTAGGAAAAATGGTACCCTCTTGGAGTGCGTGTACTCTCTGTAAAAGCAATCATCTGAAATTGTTGAAAGTACTTGACAACATCGTGTGGATAATGAAATTCTGCGCTTGAAAACGGAAGTGATCAAATTGAATGCACAACCGTTCACCTTGATGCAAGAAGTGGTTGGAGCCATGGCCGGGCCCCAAGAGGGAGCCATGTGCGATGGAGAAACGACATCATCAACAGGGGATGGGGATGGAGATGGAGAAACGACATCATCAACTGGGGATGGGGATGGAGCTGCATGAGTTGGTGAAGCCGAATTATCAACCAGAGATAGAGATGGAGATGGAGATGCATGAGTTGGTAAAGCCGCATTATCAACGGCATGACTGCAATAGTTTCTCACTTTGCCTAGGAAAATTGGTACCCTCTTTGAGTGCGTATACCCTCTGTAAAAGCAATCATCTGAAATTGTTGAAAGTCCTTGGCAGCATTGAGTGGATAATGAAATTCTACGCTTGAAAACGGAAGTGATCAAATCTAATGCACAACCATCCACCTTGATGCAAGAAGTGGTTGGAGCGGTGTGCGGTGGCGAAACCACATCATCTACTGGGGATGGAGCCATATGTGTTGGTGAAGCCACATTATCAATCGGAGATGGATATGGAGCCACATGAGTTGGTGGTGATGGCATTTTTGGGTGAGTACGCCACCACCATCGAGGCCACAATCGAATTGAAGAAGTACCAAACGATTCTGTTTTGGGTTCGGTTGCAGTGGCAGTAGCAATGCCTATGCAACCCAACAACAGAAACACACATAATAATGTGCCACTTCTCGATGACAATGACATGTTTCCAAATAAAGAATGAATAATTAGCTGTGATTAGAGGAAAGAATTTCAAGCGGTACTTCCAAATCCTTTAAAGTTGTTTGAATAATTAATATGAGTTGATATAAATAGGCAAATAATTTAGGCGATACTTCCCAATCCCTTTATAATTAGAATATCAACTTCTATCCAAATTAGGATTTCTATATATGTTGTCACGTCCACTTTTAATAA